AGAGCACTTTCAAAATTAGCTTCTTTCAAAATCAGCTGCTAGAACCTTGGGTCTGTACCAGTGACTCTACATTCCTGGAAGGCCCAGAGGTCCCATCAGCCCACCCACAAGCTCCAGTTTGGCCTGGCCTCCATTCCTCACTTGATCCCAGGAGCAAGGCTCTCTGCTTCGCAGGCCTGCATTCCCAGACTTATCAACTTCATGGACCATTAAGCTGCCAAATAAAAAATATTCCCATCAATTCATAAAAGAAATCTTACAAGGGTATAATGTCAGGGAAAAGGACACATCTTCTAATTTGAACACATTTGAAATATTCACGCCATTGTCATGGTCATCTTGATGAGGGCAGCAAAAATTTCACCAATAGACAACGGCCCGTGGACCCAACACTGTACTTTGCATTTAGTAGACACTCAGGTACTTTTAAGTTGTGTGGAAACTAAGCTCTGATTTTAGGGCAGCAATTTTGGAAATGCTACAGCCCATCCCACCCATCATGCCAAGCCTTCCTTCTTCAACAACAGCATTTCCCTTCACTCTCTGGAGCTCCCTGCAAGTTCTCTCCAAACTCATCCTCCTAAATGAACACTTCTCCTAGCTGAGTTCCCAAACTGCATTCTTTCTCAAATGCAAAAGGAAAAAACAAAACCACTCTTCCTCCACTCCAAGCATTCCTGAAGCATACTTCTCAGTAGAGTTACACTTGCAAAACCTCAGTTCTTACCTTGGAGACAAAATTTTGCAAAATTTCCACAAGAGGCAAAGGACAGAATGGTTCACTTCATTTATAACTACTGTCAAATCATTAACAAACAATAAAGGAATACCTTAATTGATAATTCCATACCATTCATTTTTTTGCATATTCTCTTTCCATGTTTGTCCTTATGAATTTGTACATTTTATATACTCACAAATACACTGGGACTTTTTTCCTGATGATAAAAGTTAATGCCTGTCCTGGTATTTCTTCAGTCCTCTGAAAACAAGTTAAGATTCAAATATTATGAAAATAAGATTATGCAGAAAGGGAATGTCTCCTATACCCAAAGGCCTCTAATACCCTTAAACTGATCCAGGCTTCTTACTTCTGTCATGTCATGATAACATGACTTTCTACCTTCTATGCCTCTACCCCTCACAGCTCTCATCTCATGTCTAGAGTTACTGCCCCACTCCTACCAGAGGCCCAGCAACCCTGGAGCCTGGTTATGATCAGAAGCACTAGACTCACATCTGTTAATTATCAATTATTTAAAAGCAGATTACAACTCTGCCTTCTCCTCACCTGCCTCACTTAAAGGCTAAAGAGGCTGTTTTGTAAGCATCTCAAACACAAAGTATGCTACAAACACCAAATGGATTGGTTTCCTTTGCTCTCTGCCCCACTGTCATAATTTGCCACAAAAAAAAAAAAAGTTCATGATCTTTCCAACGATGAGCAGCAGGCACGTCCCGATGGCCATGACTCCTGCCACCGCAACAGCTGACCACAGGCACCCAGCCAGTTCAGCAAGGGCACTAACATGAAATGATAATGATAACTTTATTCCAGAGACTACGGGCTGAAGAGAGAGGCCAGGGACATGGGAAAGGCTTGCCAAAACTTCACATAGGAAAGCCTCGCAGCCAAGGCACCGGACACCCTCTTCTGCAGCCCCTGCACAGGCTTCTTTCTCGGGTCATCCGTGTGCCCAAGAGCAGAGTCTCTCCTCAGGAGATGCTATAAAACAGTTTCCAGGATCTAATGCTCTTGACCCAAATCCAGTCATTACCTTATCTCTACCTAGACTTGGCAGGGCCACAGAGAGTTAATTTTATGTTAACCATTTTTTGACAAACAAAAACTAAGAGAAGTAGAAATGGGCCAAAAAAAAAAAGGGGCATTCAAATAAGCAAGACAGACCAGACTTAGTAAAATACAAAATCAGCCTCATCTAATGCTCTATTGAGGTCCCCTCTGCTGTATCATAGACCTCCTCAAGGGGACAAGAAGAACCCAGAGGTTGAATTCTATAGCAGTGTCTCATTTTACAGATGGGAAAACTAAGGCCCAGAGAAATAAACTGACTTTGCCAACATCACACAGCAAATTAAAGTAGTGGAAGATCCTGGCCAGCAGGCAAGTCTTGGGAGTTCCCCGTTGATGGTCTTGCCACCAAATCCCACCAGATGCTTTATTATGGAGAGTCTGTCACCCAGGCTCTGAAAAAAACCTTTCAATTTATTGGCCATCAACACATATCAACATACAGAATATGTACTAACAACACATTAAAAGTAAAATGGGTAATCTGGGTTTATCTTCCTTACATTTATTTGTTGGTAGTACAACACTGTTGAATATAAATGAACACGAACAGTTTCTAAATATGGATGGAAGCTTCTTTAAAACATTCAAATCACTTTGAAGACATGCTGTTCCAATCAACCTAATTCTAAATAACAAATCAAAAATGGTTTACAGGAGAATGCTTATTGAATAATAATAAAACCAGCACAAAATATTGTCATGTGAGATAAAAAGTTAAAGTTCTATTGCTATGCAATCCAAGGACTGTCCACCTCCTCAGAGGGGTTTTCTTAGGAAGCTGACATTTATGTGAAATATGCTAACATATAATATATGTAAGGAGCTTAATTTCAGACTTGACACATAGTAAGTGTTTGAGAAATGCTAGTTTCCTTAACCCAGGGTAGGAAAATAAGAATCACCCTTTTCTGAGAATACTTATCTAAAAGTCTGTCCTACATGCCAGGAAAACTTTAAGTGGTATATCACTGGGGTACCATCTATTTTAAAAGTGCAACTGAAAAAGGCATAGAGAGACAACATTCCATTTTTCTTAAAAGACAGATTTAGATATCCTGAAATCAGCATAGTCAATATAACACAGTTCTAATACTATGGCAAATCTAACTCCTACTGTAACAGAAAAAAAAATAATTCAATTTTTATTGTTGTTTCTCTGGTGGAAGGAAAAGAAAACAGTCATCAGAAAGATGTAACATGACATAAAAAGAGTAACAGTAAGTCTTTTAAGGTGAACTTCTGCAATATTTTAGTAGACTCTTCCTAAATAATTTTGTAGTCAGTATTCATATTACTCAGTTAAGTGTGAAACACCAGTCTTTTACACTCCAACTCATGGAGCTTTTCCACTACCACTTTATATAAGTTTCAGAAAGTGCTGAATGGTGCTGGCTCTTTGGGGGTGAATTATTTAGTTAAAAGCATAATTGGAAAAGACAATAAAGCTATAACATAAACACCTTCTCTGAAAAAGGATCTCAACAGTTCTGTGCAAATACCTAGAGACATCCCCAGTTTATGAAGAACCTAAGTAATTTTTGGGGGCCACACAATAAGCTTATACAAAAGTGGAGAACTAGAAATCTTGCATCTGTTTCTCCCCTGGTGTTCTACCAGCCCACTGTATTCTACTGCCACCTGTGTTCACTCTGAGTTTCCCCCAGTGTGGACCGTTCCTCATCCTCTTTGACAAATGCCATTCTTTTGAAACAGTACCATTTCCAGGAATCCACAAGTTACCATAAACAATTGTTGAACAAATATTGCTTTCAAGCTATAAACTGGAAACACAACAAAGCTGCCTCCGAAGTTATACAGAAATCCCCCTTTAAGGATTCTGTCTGCTCCTCAAAGGCCACCACCACCAATTCAAAGACTTCTAATTATCATGGCTATTGAAGACGAGATTGGAAATACAGATCCAAGACAAGGAAAACGAAAATCAAAGATTTAAGAGGCCCAGATCCAGAACAACAGATCAGGATGCCACTGTTTGTTTTTTAAATCACCAATCTCACAAAGTTTCCTCATTTCTTGGAATTCAAACACCACTGTTGGCATCATTTTATGACAACGCTGTATTTCATCCAAGTCTTCGGGCGCAAGGTAAAGCCAGTGACTGAGGGACTCAGACAAAACTGTGCCTTCAGAGAGCAGTCTTGTCGGAGCGCCCAACACTGGCCTTCTCGATTTTTGCCCCCCACACTCCTCAACGCCCCAGCCATCCAAAAACGTTTGTGACAGTCGTGGCTCTAAACTGCGCAGAACTTGACTACAAATCGGCCACCACTCTAAATCTAATTTCGCCAATTTTGTTTTCCCCAAGCTCTACGTTCCCTCGGCCCTTCGCCCCTGAGATCAGTTCTAGATCTCTTCACCGACCTTTATTGTTTCTATGGGACTCCGCACCCCTCCGTCCGTCCAGTAATATTTTCATGGCACAAATGTCATTTCTAGTCTTCAACCCTCCATTCTGCCCGGCGAGCAGCGGAGGGGCTTTCGGGACCCAGTGGCCAGCTTCCCTAACTCGGTCCCCTACGCACAGCCATTTTCTAGCTAAAACGCTCTCTGCCTCCGAGGGGGAAATTGAACTTTTCCCCCTTTGATCTCGCAGCGGCTAGTCTCTAAACCCCGGAGGAGCCAGCGCCTTCTCCAAGTCCCCGGCAGGCGCGCGCTGCCGCTCCGGGAGGAAGAGCCCAGCCGCACAGCAGAGGCCGGTGCCAGGACAAGGGGGTGTGCGCTCTTCCCCGCCGGCGCCCACCCTCTCTTTTACCCCGCAGCCCCGATCCGGGTGCACCCCCTCCAGCCCTGTCTCCCCCGCCCCAGGCCCTGCCAAGCCCGGGCTGCCGAGGGAAAGAAGACGCCGGGAAGCAGGAGGGATGGAAGTCAGGGAGTGAGCCCGCAGACGCCGTGCCACCCGGCCCTGCGGCACGGGCGCAGGGCGCACGGGGCTCCGCAGCGGAAGCCTGCTGCAGATGCGGCGGTAGCTGCTGCAGCTGTGGCTGCGGCTGGGCAGGCGACAGTGGCTGCAGAGCCCCCGGGGCCGGGAGGAGAGGAACAGCCGCCGGGGCTACGCGCGGCCACTCGCCGCACGCCGCTGCCCTGCCGCTGCCCGGGTCTCTCGCCAGCAAGCCCGCGCCGCCCAGGAATCCCGGGCAAAGGCGAGGAAGAAAGCGAGGCTCACCGGCAGTGCGCGCGGCGTTCACTTCGGCTCCGAGCCCGGCAGCTCTTCTCCAGTCTCGCCCTCCCCCGAGCGCCTGGATCAGCAGCGGGTGCAGCGCTCGAGCTTCCTACTTGAGACCAGGACGGGCTCCGGCGACTGAGCATGCCCAGTGCCGATTCGCGAGTCCCGCGCAGGGAGCGGCAGCGGCGCGATTCCACTTCTCCAGGCTTTGGCGGCGGCTGCGCGAGCTGAGGCTGGAGGGGCCCGGCCGGGCGGGGGCCGAAAGGGAGAAAGGCGGGGCCGGGGGAGGGGGCCGGGGAGGAGGGGCAGACAGCGCTCCTAGGGCGACCCCTGCAGGCCGAGGCTGCGGGACCTGTGGGACACACGCTCCTACCACGGGTCTGGGAAGCTGGCAGGGAGGCAATGGGACCAGGGTGTGGAGACCCAAAGGCCGGGAGTCGCAGTGCTGCTGGGTATCTTCTCCATGTGGCCTGACATCTGTCGCACCAAAAGGCAGCTGAGTAACCTTATGCCTGGCTGGTCTTTTCTCCTACGTGTCTTCACTCCCTTATAATGGGATAATGTACCCAGATGAGAGATGCCCACACCCGCCCAGCTGCAACTTACAGACAAGACCTTCTGCTTCCCTCTACTTCCTTTTCCACACACACACACACCATTCCTTGATGTGAAAATCACAGCAAGATAACCTCAGGGGAGAAACACACCTGCAGGAAGGGGGAAATCATGATTTCCTTTTCACCCCTAGACAAGCCATGTCCGGATAAGAATGGCTACTCAGCATCTTACTACTATGATGGGCAGTGACTGCAATGGGGTGTGCGTGATGGGGCGGGGGAACTTGATAATACGGATGAATGTTCTAATAACAATGTTGCTCATGTGAAACCTTCATGAGATTGTATATCAATGATACCTTAATACAAAAAATAAAAGGAAACAAATAAAAATAAAAAAGAATGGCTACTCGGTAAGTGGCAATCAGTGCTCTGCTCCAGACAATGACATCCCCAAAGCATCCTTAGGTTTGCTAGTCACCAGGGCAGTGGTTGCCAAAGTTGAGCCAGCTGCTAACCTGGAGGGTTTACGGAAACACGGATGACTGGGTCTTGTGCCCAGAGTCTCTGAATGGGTAGACCTGAGGTGGGCAAGCATCCATCTTAACACATTCCCAGGTGCTGCTGCTGACCCAGGACCACACTCTGAGAACCACTACTCCACACATACACACAGCCTTACCTCCCATCTCCTTCAGGAGGATTAGGCAAAAGTAAATTTATAGTGTCTACAAAGTAGTGACCCCTCTTCACTCATCCTCCTCCCCAACCTCCAGAATGCACTGCTCCCTCAAATAAACTCATACCTGGCCAGTCCTCATTCTTCATGTGTGGACTCTAAGCGATTGGGGGTGGGCGGAGCATCACTTTATTGCTTGAAACATCTTGAATAAAGTGAGGATCCTTAAGGTCGTAGAATAAACCTGGGATTATCAGTGAACAAAAAAAGCCTAGACCTCTGCTCTTAGAGCTTAGTCTAGCAGGGTGGACAGAAATCCATCAAATCACCCAAAAACATTACTTAAACATGGAGAATGCACGGAGAGTAAATTTATCAGATGTGTATAAGAGTGTATACCAGGAGCGTAACGAAAACTCGGAATAAGGTTGTAAGGAATATGTGGTGGAGGGAAGCTGCCTTGTGGAAGAGGGGTTTCTGGCATTTGCACCTCTAAATCCTCTTCCATGAACAATCCCTCTGACCCCTCTGGATGCCAACAATTTGTCTTTCATTTCTGCTCTACTACTGAAAAACAGTAGTGTCACTTGAGAAATCTCTATAAATGCATTAAAGTGCTCGCCCTTGAGGCTGTCTCTGCACCCCAAGAACTGCCTATCGAGCCTGTGGACCAGGGATATTCAGGCGCTGCAGTTTAGCCCACTTTGAGAAAATGCAAACTCTGAAACGGAAAGCCTTCTAGCTCTAGTCTAGGTCCTTCAGGCCCAAAAGGTGAGGAAATTAGTCCAAGACCACCACCACCACCACCCCCGACCCTGTCAGCAGAGACGCGACGGGACCAGCCTCCTGCCCTTCAGGCAGGTTCTCTTTCCGCGGCACTCTTATTGCCTCGGACTCCACAGCTCCCCGTGGCTCCCCAGGAGTCCCGCCCGGCCACTCCGCTTTCGAGGGTAGGGGGCAATCAGCTGCGTCCGCCGCTCCCGGCTCGGTCTCTTTCTGACTCAGAGGAAAACCCGCGGTGGAGTTCTCTGCAGCGGGGCGGGGCGACGCGCGCAGGCGCAATGGCCGCCAGGTTGGGCCGAGGAGGTGCCCAGCTCCACACCTGATGCAATCAGCCTTCCGGAAACTGGCCCGGCTGCCGCGCTCACCCAGGAACCGCCTCTGCGCTCCCACGTTCCCAGACCTCTGGTCGCCGGGCTCCTCCTGGGGTGGAGGCCGACATCGGCGTCCCACAGGGAGCCACAGGAGGAATCGAGAAGTCACCGCCTGCAAAACAAAGTCCCTGGCTGCCCTAATAGTGACGTGGAAACGGCCACTGAACGTTTCGTGGCTGCAGGAGGAAATTCCCCTAATTATGTATTTCCAGAGAAGATGGGCGGAGGGTTGTGGGGGAGTGAAGCAAAGGCTCTAACCTTCCTTTGCTTGCTATCGTCCTTCCTCAGCCTCCAGATACACATCTCCTTTCTCCTTTACTGAAAGGGACGTTTACTGTGATAGCAGTATTAAAGCGGTATGAGGAGGACTCCCAGCTACCCTCTTGTCTTGCTAAATATGTAAAGGCACGGTAGCTCAGCTACAAAAAGCCTTCCACCGCGCACTCATTTTATAAATAAGTAATCGGTTTCTCTATACTTCATTTTAGTTTACAATCATTTGTCATTTCACTGCCTCATGCAATTTTGATATCGTGGGTGGATTCTCTCTTCCCTGATGCTGACTCACCCATGAATTGTTTTCCAAGGAAATGAAATATTCCAAGAATATTCCAAGAGCATAGTTATAAAAATGTGAAGGTAAAAATTACCTTCCTTTAAATCAAAGGGAAAAAGAAAAGGCAAATTCAAGGAATTTTAGTTGGAAGGCTACTTAAGAGAGCTATCTAGAATCAAGTCTGGACCAACTTAGATTTTAAAGAGGTTCAGAGGACGTTCACTCCTCTGTGACACAAAGAGATAATAAATGAATTCTTAACAGACAAATCACTGATTTTTTGACACTCTAATCTGTTGGGAAAATGTATTTCCTTTTTGCACAAACACTATACAGAGTGTTACACTATAGAAAAATGCTGTTTTTTCAGTCTGTAGGTAATAGAGTACAAAATGGGTGGTAACAAAAGAGATCCTATTACTTGTTCCTACTTCTGAAGTCATTAGTCTTTAAATAGTCCTTGATCTACCCAACCACTATGCAACCTATCCAACCACTTCTAAGATAACCAGAGACTAGGCATTCAGTATTTCATTTAAGTGGTATGAAATTCTTCAGAACTTCCAGTCATCAAGAAGTCCTTTGAGTCAACATTTAGAGCCACTACTATTTTTGCTTGATCATGTGGTATATGAACTGTTTGAGGTTAAACCAAAGGAATGGTAATGATTACAAAATATCAGTTACGATTTGCCACTGTACTGATTTAAGATACTTGAACAAAATGGAAATCAAAGTGAAATACAAAATAACTGCATAATTCATGCCTACAATAAGATAAATTCTCTAAGCCCCATCTACCTTCTTATCTTGATTAACATATGTTTCTTTTGCTAATTCTCTGACATTTAGAGAGCTGGGAAATACCTTCCCTTTCGAAAAAATAGTCCAGTAAGTGTCAAAATGCAGAGGTGCAAAGTACAAACTCATCACAAGTTACTAGTTACAGAATAGCTAACCTTTCCTGAGTGCTTACCATGTACCAGATACTGGCTAGCGTTTTACACAGGTTATTTAACTTAATCCTCACAACTATCCTGTAAGGTACTATTGTTATCCCTGTTTTGCAGGTAGTGAAAGTGAAGCTTGAGAATGTGAAATAGCTGATTGAAGGCACGTAGTGAAAGTGAAGCTTGAGAATGTGAAATAACTAATTGAAGGCACAACACATTCAGTGGCAGAACTGGTATTTGAGCCCACACATTTGCCCTGAGCTGGTACTCTTAAATAACACTCTACACAGAAAAATGTAAATAATAGAAAATGATTGTGATTTTTATCTCATATAAGAAAAGAAATGAGTATTCTACTTGCTCTCCTTCCAGAAATAAGACTTGGTAAAATTCTTTGTTCACACTAAGAAAGGACCCCTTTCTCATTAATGAATTGTGGTCCCCAAATTTAGGACCAATCCTATCCACAGATAGGAGGCAGATGATCAACAACCTAGTGATTTTTCAGGGGCACCAGCAAGGCCTCCTGTCTGATGGACCCTCTCCATGTCTTGCTGATTCCTCTAGCCCTCCTTTCTGTCCCCACTTCCATTGTCCTCATTGGCTTTTCATGCACTATTTCAGTATCCTGCTTGCCAACCCGGGTGACACTGTTCACTCCCAATTTAAGCCCTTCCTCCATGCTGCAGCCAGGGTGAGCCTTCGAAAAAAAAAGATGCTGATGACATAACTCAACTCCTTTAAAACCACTGATGACTTCCTGTGGCTCAAGAATAAAAACTTAACTACTAAACTGAAGGACTCACATGACCAATCCCCCATTCCATTTCAAACCTATATTTGGAAGCCTCTACTACAACCTCCCTTTCAACTGCCCCTCCTCTAGGCCATAACTCTCCCTGCACAACCCCTACCTCCCCACTGTATGCCCTCCATCAGCAACCAATACTCCATGAGGCATTCCTGGAACAAAGAGTGTCCTTGCACATCTCTGCCCTTGAACACACCTTTCTTAACTGACCCTTTTATGTCTTCCTTACCTGGAAAAATCCAGCTTATTCTTTAAGGCCCAGTTCAGGTATTATCTCTTCTATGAAAGCTTAGCCAACTCCCTCAGGGAAAGGTGGTAACCAGCTCATCTATGCTGCCATAGAGTGTAGATGATGTATTCAGGCTACCTGGGTTCAAATCCTGGCTGTACCACAACCCTACTGAGAGTTTTGGGAAAGTGAGTTATCCTTTCCCAACCTCAGTTTCCTCATCTGAAAATGTTGATAATCATAGCATGTGCAACTTAGTGTTGTTGAA